TAATGCTTGATTGATTGTAATTGTTGGTGTAATCAGCAGCTTTGGTAAATCATTTGTTTTGTGAGTCACATTTGCATATTTGCAAAACAGAAAATTTGGAAGCACATTGTGCAATGCAGACAGTATTTGCTTACAAATTAATGTCTAATACCGTATTTGGAAGCAGCTCAGAAACTGTTGATTGGTAATCAGGGACAAACACTGAGCCCCACAGCAGACTCAGACCTATAGTGGAGATGAAAGGTGTATACACATGTGCAGGTGCTACATATGCATGAGGGTGTGTGAAAGTCCTCTCATGCATGTATCCCTGACAGGTCCCTAATGTCAACTAATGTCAGTCAGTGTATCAGTGAATGTGAAAGATGCTGTTGTTATTCATCCCCACCATGGTGGGATGACACTATTTGTCACTGTAGTGATGGATTCCGCATCCCTCAGAGGAGCATGTGCAAGCGCCGTCTCTGAAAGGCTGTCTTTGTGTTTCACACTCACTCACTCACACACACACAGATGCACACATATAACGCACTGCTGGAACTGACAACAAAGGCGTGCTTATCCAATTGTGGGGGAATAAGATTAGGCTACAAAGAAACTCATAAGGCTAATGTTAGCATCTCCTGCTCCAGTGAGAGCTTTTGTTTGTGTAATCAGGAAAAACATGGGATTAGATTTGAGATGCTGTCTAGGAAATTATGCCCATAAGGCCCTTTTGTATGATGTTGACATGTTCCTAAGTAACAGGAGGCAATGGCCTGCCTTCTGTCTGATAAAACAATCCTCAGGGAAATAAAGAGTAGCCTATTTGTGTTGTTCAGACATCTGATTTTGTTTTCCACCAAAATAGACTGTCTGGCAGACCCGGCCGAACCTGTCTTTACTCACTGTTTGCCTTTATAATTGACTTTTCATCATAATTAGGTTGTGGCAAGGAAAGAAAATAACTCTTCTGTCATCTGGTGTTTTAAGATGCTAATCTTCTCTTGATGAGAGCAGCTCATTTTACAGCTTACTATAATTCATCAATAGCAGCAATATGTGGGCTTATTGTGGCTGTGGGAGTAGGCTGTCAATCCAACAGGTGAAGTAATTGTTGCTGCTGTGCCTCCGCATTTGGAAGTAGAAACACTCTTTATTCTTTTTAGACGGAAGTACTATGATGTGTGGTATTAAACACAGAATAAAGGCAGTTCCTCTGTAATGTGGAGGAATTTTTAACATATTTGACAGAGTAGTAGCATGGTAGGACCCTTTGAAAAATGCTTTCCAGTTGAGACATGTCGTTTGTAATAAATTCTCCCACCAAACTCAGGTCAATAGTGGCTGGGACACTTAAGATCGAGAGAGTGTGAAAGAAACTCTAGACAATCCAGTGTTGTTATATGGGCCAGGAGAGAGAGACACCATTCATTAGCACCTCTGTGACCCCTCACCCATTCTTCTATTGAAGAATAGCCTGCCTCTCACGCACAGTCGGCCCTAAGCCCCTCAGGGCACCCAGAGCCCGTTACATAAGACACAAGTAAAGAATGCTCCAGAAAAGTCTTCAGCCATGACCTTGGCTTTGGCGGAGCACTCCTATTGGTCCTGTTGGACCAGCACTGTCTCATGGTTAAAAGTCACATGTCCTGTGTTCCTGTGTCAATGTGAATGTGAGAGTCTGCAGTTTGAATGTTTCAGACAGTTCTTGTGTAATGAAATGGATATGGCTGCAACTACAAGGTGGTTTAAAATGGTAAATGTAACTTAGTTATCCCTCGAGCCGTGGTGTCAACGTGGCAGTGTTGGTCTGTCGGACCACCACTTTGGTCCAGACTGAAATATCTCTGATTTTTTTGGATGGATTCCATGAAATTTGGTGCAGACAGTTATGGTTACCAGACAATGTATCCACACCAGCTTTGGTGAGTCCCACACTTTTTCTGTGGTGTTACTGGCAGGTTGACATTTTAGTTTTTAATGAAATGTATATAACAGCTATTGGATGAATTGCTATAAAATTTGGTACACACATGTATGTTCTCCTCGGGACAAATTATATTTACTTTGGTGGTCCCTTAACTTTCCATCTATTGATGACGTATATGACAAAACAGTAATGGTATCCCCATCGGCTTCAACTGCACTTTGTGTTAGTTTAGTGCACAGATGTCAGAAGAGAACTGGATACAGCGTTGGGGGCGAGGCCCTGTTTATTCCAATGAAAGTTGCTCAGTGGCCATGACACCAAATAAGTTAAACTCCCTAGGTATAAAATTACCTGGATCTTGGGACCCATATAGCAAGCACACTAGAGACTTCTGCCAGCTAAACTTTCGTGAGCTTAAGTCGAGAGATTTGATTGTGTGATTTTCAAAAACTTTATCGGACCAAATGTTATTGGATCAAATATTCTACAAATCCTGATTGAAGTCATGTGTCCACTGACTACAGACGCCTCTGTCACAATGTAAGTCTACAGGAAAATATCTTTTTGGACTCAGTGGCATCACGTGATGGACCTAGAGGTTGTAGTTACACAGTTTGGCCACTATGTGAAATTGGCTCCAAAGCCCAGCGCTGTTCATGGGGGCTTGGTTTAGACGTAATAAGCAAATGCTAGCATGCTAACATGCTACACTAATATGTTGAACATTGTAAATATTATACTACTGAACACCAGCATGTTAGCATTGTCATTGTGAGCATGTTAGCTTGATGATGTCAGCATTTAGCTTAAAGCACCACTGTGCCTTACACAGCTGCTAGCATGCTTGTAGACTTTTAGCCTGGTCAGTGTATTCTAATGGATATTGATCTTGTAAAAAAAAAACCTGAAAGAAAGACTTGTCTTCAGAATACTTTTTAAAATTATTTCAATATATTAACATGAAAACAATCACAACTTCCAACATGTTGCATAATTTATTAGAAAGGTGTTACTACACCACAATTTTACCAGCAAACTCAACACTGTATACTTGTATTTGAATGAGGTGTGTTCCCGTGCCAGTCCTATTTCAGCAGCTCATATTCTGCTGGCAACACTCGTGCAGTGAAAGAAACTTTCCAAACCCTCATCAAACCTAAAATGTACCTCCTTGATTGAGAAGAAAGGAAAAGTTGAGTTGAAAAGGAGTAAAACCACATTCTCTACTTAGCCTTTTTCAATCAGATATCTAAAAGGAACATTAGGGGAAACCGTTGTCCATATAGAATAGTATTTACCAGCTCACATTTGCAAACCATTATGCTGGAATTTAGCTGCACACGGCCTTGTCATTTCCTCTTTAATTTTGGTTGGTTCAGAGCTTTGATAAACTGCTGTTATTGGCTGAAAAGCTTAATGAGGCTTTTGAATGGTTGTGGAGTAAGAAACACACACACACACACACACACACACACAGGCGCTGCTAATACTATCCCTTTATATAAGCAAAAATAGCCTCTTATCTTTGGCATTACAAAAAGCACTCTAAGGCTTTTTTTTTTTGCACTGAACTTTGAACTTTGCACATACAATATAATATAAGCACACAACAGTTTCTAGTTTCTATTCACATACATTTCAGGTGCACATAATCTGAAATTTGATCATACCCATTACCAGATGTTTAATTTCCTTGTGAGAAGAGAGCGAGCTAAATCTCAATTAACTCGCTTGCTCAATAAATCAGTGAATAATTAACTTCAGTAATTACAGATGCTTATAATTTACTAAATACAGTCATATATCAAGCTTTGTTCCCAATCATTTCATTTTCATCTCTATCAAGATGTTAAAGTGAAAGGATTTGGTTCATAATTACCTTGTATTGTAAATCCCTCCTTAAAGGGGACCTATTGTGCTTCTGCTTATGTTGTGTCGTATATATAATGTTATATATAATAGGTGTCAGATGTTCATATTAAACATGGCCAAAGTTTCAAATGACGAGGTAAGCATATGTAAAACTAATCCCTGTGAGCAAAAACCTCAGGCTTCAGACTGTCCTGAATCTCTACAAGCTGACGTCAGATCATGAAAGATTTCTTTATATGGTCATCTGCTTCAGGCACACTACTGCAAGTGTTTACATTACCTACACCGCTACATGTAGCTACATGCTAACGTCAGGGAAATCTGTAAAGAAGCTTTTATTGCTTATTTTTCACAGTAGAAAGTGCTGCTATACTGTGTTATAGTCATTCTCCTGCAGCCATGATGGTGCAGAGACATTGAGCACATATACACAGAAGACCTAGAGGCACTGATCAGTTGGAGCAGACGAGGCTTTTCAACATTAAACCATGTGAACATGTTCTACTAGAAACCAACAATACAAGTATGAACCTGAAAATGAGCATAACGGGTCCCCTTTAAACCTTAATTTTGCAGCATTGCCTTGAAGCCACATTTAAAAACAAAGTTAAAGAGGAGGACAGGGAGCTTTCTTGCCTTGATGATCTATAACAGCTGGGCAAAACCTCTCAGAAATTTAATTTTTTTTAATTTTACCCATTGTTGGTTGACAATTTCAGTCCAGGGAACATGATGTGCTTGCTTGATGTTTGCACAGGGCAGCTGGGTTTGGCAAGAGCACTTGATGAGCAAGCTGCCCTTTGCTAATAATAATGTAGAAGCTGGAGAAAGGGATGGGCAGTTAGTGACTCCCTTACTCATTACAACGCACACATGTTGGTTTGTCTAACTGTACATGGCGTGTTAGGGCCAAATTTTCTGCAATCATAGGTGTGTGGAACATTACCTCACTAACGGTTTGATCTTTTTGCAGGGCTGTACAGTATTCATTTCATTTACACAGTTGCCTCTTGTCCCCTCTTTATTTTCTCGTCTTTCTCTTACTTCCTGAACCTTGATTCTAAAAACATTTTTATTTTCCCCATCTCCTAATCCTTGTGTCCTTTATATCCCTTACTCCCTCGCTCATTTCTCACTCTTTTCCTCCCCTTGTGTAATTTATTTCTGGCTTTTTCCCACTTATTCATCTTATATTTCTGTCATTTGTCTTCCCCAGCCCCCATATAATTTTCCTGTCCCAGAGTGTGCTGTGCGCTGGACGTCCTGGTTCTGGAGAGAACGGCCTGTCTCTGTGTGGCTCCAGGATATGCCATGAGATCGCTCACTCCTGGTTCGGCCTGGTTATTGGAGCCAGAGACTGGACTGAGGAATGGATCAGCGAGGGCTTTGCCACCTACCTGGAGGATATTATCTGGGCCCAAGCACAACACGTACGGTACAATTTCTGCCTGATGATTGTAGTTTACTACAGCTATTTTAAAAAAGTCAATAATGGTGGCCTTTTTAGACTGTAACCCCAGGTAGACAAACATTTTAAATTGCAATATGAGCTTTCAGATACACCAGTTGAGCCCAGTTTGCTGTGGCCATCTTGAGGAAGTCGAGTCAATGAAAAACAACCTCAGGAATCATAAGTTGTTATATTAGATGTTTATGTTTATGTTCATGGTCTCACAAGGTACTTGAATTTTGAGGGGAAGAAAATCAAATACTGGAATAGCCCCCTTTTTACAATCGCTTCAAAAGTCCTTGAAATTCAAATCAACCAAATAAGGCCATTTAACGCCCAGTTCAGACCAAAGATTCACGACAAGACGAAACCATACTAAAACGTTGCAGAGAAAAGTTGCAGCGGTGTGAACTGGCCGGTCTGAGCTCGACTCTAGCCGGCTGATGGTGTCACCTGCAGCTCAGCTGGTCAGATTGCCAGCGGCTGGTTTTAGAACATGCAGCATGTCACCTGTTTCTACAGTCAGTCAGCTTGTAGTGAAGTCCGCTGGTCAAGTCAAAATGACCGCAGATGTGTTCACTTGCTGCGGCAGGTGCTCCGTCCCCACCAAGCCCTCTGTTTGGTGTCGGACAATGGGTCGCTGCTGCCGCTCGTTGTGTGTGCTAATGCCCCCCACCACACACACATTCTCACTGACTGATTAATTGGCGCTGGTTACTTATATTATTATGGCATATTTATTTTGAATACAGTCCATCTAATGCTCGTTTTGTTAATGTTTTTTTTTGCTGTTTCATCACTACTACAAATGCAGCTGTCGCCAGTATCTCACTATCACTGTCCTAATTCATATTTTAAAAAGCTACAAATGATCGTCAGCCACAAAAAACCCCTGAAAAGCTGGAAATCAGAACGGAAGTAAAGGGAGTTGTTTAGGTTTTTAGAGCGTTGCAGAATGGCACATTGCAAGTAGTTGCCTGTTTCAGCTTGTCTAGTCTTGAATCTTTGGTCTGAACTAGGCTTAATATTGTTTGTAATACTGTCTGTATTATATTTATATGTTATTATAATTATATTTCTCAGAATCAGTATTCGCCAAGCCTTTTCTTTTTTAAAATTCTGAGGTGTCATCACCCTGACCACGGTGTGCTCTCCCTCTCCTTTCAGTCTTGATGTCCCACCTGAAATTACAGCTTATTTTTACTTTGCTCCACTCTTAAAACCCTAGCAAAACCAGTAGGCCTATGTTGGCATTAACTAGACTTATGAGACAGCTTTATACTGTGATTTGGTTTTGTCTCTCTTCAGCGGTGCACGGATGTAATAGCTTCGCCGAAAATGAAAACTAGCTGTGTCATTCTGCTGTTTTGTTAAGGATTTTATACAGTCATGCCTCTAAAGGGTGTGATAAGTAACCCTTGTTTGAAAAGAGAGGTCTTGATCACATCATTTATTTACATTTAATAGAAATTTATGTTTGAAAATGAATTATTTGCTTTGAGTGCTAGAAAAAAATAGTGCTTGAAAAAGTACTAAAAAGTCCTTGAATTTCATTTTGTAATGCCTCTATTACCTAGCTTTATTTTGCCATTATCTACAGTAGAAGTACTATTATACGGCATGATCCAGCACCTTCACACTGTTGGTAAAATGCAACATGTCAGGGAAACACAGGTTGACTTTCCAACCTTTCATTTCCACAACTTATGTGCCAGGATTTCCAAATGTTACTGTTGTGGTTGGATTGCACGTCAAGTAGAGTTGGCCATTACATTACTGTAGTTAAACCATACATCAAGCACACAAGGAAACAGTTCATTAAGACACCAATTCTAGTTCCAATGCAAAAAAGCACAAAGAAGAAACTGAAAGGTCAGAGGAGTTGGCCAAACAAAACGAAAGGGTAAAGAAGCTCTTGGGCCAGCTACAAAATAAGCCCTCAAACCTAAACCTCCTGATGTACTAAGACATAAGAGAACTAAGCTGAACCAAAATAAGAGTTATGAAAAAGTACTGCTGCCTACCTTCTCTTCGAAAAAGCAGACCACTGACAAAAGAAACAAATTCCTCTGACAGTTTGGAGATTGTGTACTTCACACTACTCCAGGTGTCTCTCTTATTAAGCCCTTAATAAGGTTGATTAAGGATACCTGGAGGAAAAAAAATGGATAAACAAAAGGACAGAGGACGAGGGTGGAGCACTGGTATGTATCCTTTGCTTGCAACACTGAGTTCAGCTGTGATCCGGGAGCTGGTGTGCATACAGATCCAATCCTCCTACTTGCTTTCCCACACCATCTAGAGTTACACAAATGTTATTCTTGTGTCTGCACTGTCTAACCATGTCACCTTTATGGTGTGTACTTGGCTCTGAAGAAATAGATCTAAGCAGACCTGATATTGTTGCCAAAATGAATAAGACACAGTGACAGATGATGCAGGCAGTGCTGCTTTTATTTCATGATATTAGTGTGCATTTGATTTTTCATTTAATCAGTTTATTTTGTTTTTTGAAGAAATTCACCATCTTTCATTTACCTCCTCTGATCTCTTCGTGCCATCACAAACCTTTCCCCCCGCATCTTTTTAACTTTCTGTATCAATCCCTCCAGCTCTCCTTACAAGAGACAGCAGAGCAGTCTGACCTGAAGGCACTGCTGAGGTGGAGACGACTCTCTGACGAGTTGCAGAACTCAGAGGAGGCGCTTCAAATCCTCAGGTGAGTATGGATTTTTTGGTCAAGTACATCTGTTCTAATTATCATACTGAGAATGGTGCAACAGCACCTTCAGTAAACATCTTAAGTAGTAGCTTTGGTATTTCTAAACCTGGAACCTGTTTTTCAAGGTTTTTGTGTCTGTTCAAACTGTCAATGTACATCCGCTAAAAGTGCTGGTTTTTGCCACCGACAGGCTAAGATTTTTAACAAAACTATGGAAAGGATCCCTACAGAGAGTCCTTTTTGTTAAGAGGTAAGATCCTTTTTATTAACCAGAAACAGCTGGGAAATTGTTATTGCCAAACCCTCCAGACTCCATTAAATAAACAATAATTTAATCATTGTAAAACAAACTTAATTCAGAGTCGACAGAAACAAATAAAACTCACAAAAGCTGTCTTGGTTTGTCTCTCCATTGTTCCAGCAATCGCCAGGTCTGGTTTGGTTCACCCAGGTACGTTTGATCACACAGAGAGTGTTTTAGCAGCCGGAGGCGGCTTTTTGTAATTGTTCTTAATGAGAATGAAGCTTTTTGCTCACTGTTTTTGTGTTGCAACGCGCCTCATGTTTCTGCACCTGGTGTTTTGTGCTCTAAACTCGTCAAGTTGAAAAAAATATAACTCATAATTCAATCGTTTTTCTATTGTCCAACTGGATGATTTTAGAGGCGGTGGGCCTTCTGTGGCGGTCACGACAACAAGTTTACAGTTGGTAAACAAAGAAGGAGAAATCAGTGGTAGTGGTTGGTGGATACCCAGAGCTATACAGCCCGACAATAAACAGCAGGTTGTCAAACTGCCCCTGAGTCATCCTAAAATATGCCTGGAAACGGCTGTCATGGAGGCGAAGCTCCTGGACCAACTGGTGGTACTCCCTGAGATCCACCCTCCTTTTTAGGGTCTCACGCACCCACACAGATCTCTGTTTCCCTGTGCCCAACAAACTATTTGCTGACAGCCTCTCACCCTCAAACAGAGCTAAAGAAAGTACCCTCTGCCTGTCCATTTCAGGAACTAGCTACTAATTACTGTGAAAAAAAGCCTGGAGACAATAAAAAGGTGCAGCAAGTGTTTTGTGTTTTTTTACTAGCTGTATTTGTGCGCCTCGTGGTTTGCAACCTGCAGAATGCTTTCTGTGTGATCAGCACCTTAGATGTGATAATATGCTGCCTCTATACACGCTAAAATAATGTTCATTTAAATTTGAGTTTTTGCGGGGTTGAAGTTAGCAATTTTTTGTGCTGTTTCTGTTAAAACAAAAGTTTAACAGACTTACTCTTCAATGAAAAGGTCTATCTCTGCAGGGATCCTCTTCAATGAGTTGTCAGACAATTATAGTAACAATCAGAGCCTGTCAGTGGTAAAAACAAACACTTTCACTGTATGTAAATTGATGGTGCACATGTGCCCTGAGTGGCTACTTTGCAGCCTGTTTCTCCACTGTCGGCTGCAGCATTCTCACTCAATACTGGACCAATTTTAGAAATTGCTGTGCCCATTAGTCACTTTGAGAGAAAAACATGGGAAAATTGGCCCAAGTTGAAAAATACCAAAGTTATCCCGCTTCCCCACTGTTAGATTTATCCCTAAATTGCAGTTGAGGTTTACTAAACCACCTAAGGTTCAACACGTACAGAGGAGGCAACATCTTCCCACAGCAGTCAGTGTAACTACTTAATTATGTTACTCTGGTATCTGTGCTTGAGATGTTCTTTTCCACACATCAGGAGCGGACAATGTTTGAATAAGCTGCAGTTGTTTTTCCCTTTTTCTCCACTGTATACACAGCATGTTTTAAGGTGAGAGTATGCCCAGCTATTGTAAGTGTCTGCACGTGCAGACGCACACGTGAGCGTGAGGTACATGCATTCCAGGGGTACAGGTGTGGCAGGTGTGGCGAGTATATCCAGGTGTACTGTTGTGTCTTAGAAAAGCTCTGCACACAAGCACAGCAAGTACATACAAACACACAAACTCTTCATCTGATCCTGACAATGTGGGACCCACACCCTGTTTGTTTTATCCAGGGTGGAAGCACAGTGTCATCAGGGGATTATAGGTGTAAACCCCAGCGTGGAGTTTAACTGTTTCAGGGTGGAAATGCAGTTGCAAGCATTGTGCGTTTCAAATTGTAGCTTTTCCTTTCAGCAGAAAAGCCTTGGCGCTGGAGATGACACATGTAGCGTAGTGTGCTATTGACATTCACGCTTGTAAGAGACCATGCAGAGCGTGACATTGAATCAATGTGTCATTGATTTAATGGCACTTCTGCTTGGCGCTAACTTCTAACTATGTTACTTCACTGGTAATGTGTTGTCATCACACAATGGGAACACTCATAAATTAAAAGTGTTTAGAATTCAAATCAGTTACGTCTGTGTGAGTGAAAACCTTCAGTATTAATAGTGATTTATTTTACTTATTTGTTACTTCAAAGAACCTATGGCTTTATAGGGTTTCAGTGCTTCAAGGGTGATCGTGTTTGGAAATAGGTGAGTCTCAATAATTAAATGCTGATAACCTCCAGTGTTTGTTGCGCATAATTAAGTTTCACATTTGTGGCAGGCTTAAAAAGGAAGAATTAATGACTGTGACACAGAGAATATCTTGAAATAAGACACTGTGTGGGAGTGAAAGGGTTAAAAGTGGACTTGAGTGTCTAGTCTTGCACTCAATCAGGGTGTTCCCCTATGAGGCAGACACAGGGGTGATTAGGAGGATCAGGATTAGGTTTCTCTGCACCTGACGGGGTTAAGTCAACAACACAAAACTAACATCTGAAAAATGCAAACAAGACATGCACACACACAGACATACAGTACATGCCCATACGCATGGATGCAAACATTTTGACTATGTTACATGGCAACACATTAGTATTGCTAAAGTGACACCTTAATCCCCACATCTCTTAAAGCGATGGTACAGTAAAGCATGTCGAGGCATAAAGGAATCCTGCTCGCACATTATCTTAATGACTGAATGTGTTCAGTCTGTGAGTCAGGTACAACTTTCACTCTGCAAGTGCATTTTTAGAGCATCAGTATGGCTCTGGCATGGGTAACACTTTATCTTATAGGTTTGCAATTTCTGAATAATTTCCAATAAGTTTCCTGGAAAGAACTGTGTAATTTGGTGCTAATTATAGGGAAAGTAGAGTCAGTGTAAATTATAGCCAATTAAATACTGTGTAACCCAGAGTCTCTCAGCGCACAGCAGGTCAGCTGAACGCTGAAATATGTGAAATCTGTCTACAGGGAAGCATCTAATTCAACGAATATGAACAGGGTTCCCACGGGTCCTTGAGATCCTTGGAAGTTTGTGAGTTTGATGGAAAAATCAAGCTTTAAAAGTCACTGGAAAGAGACAGAAATGGACATGGGTCATTGAGAGTGCTTAAATTAATATATTTTGTGCAAAAATAGTAATTGTTGAAAGTTTACACATTCACACTCACACAAGTGTTCACACATTCAAGCTTCGCCCTCGTTTTAATTGTTGTTGTAATTATTTGACCCTCTGTATAGCCTGCAGGTTCTCACTATAAACATTCTCAGTGTTGCATTAGTAATTAACCTTGTTAACTAAACTATGCCATGTTGGGTCCCTGAGTTTGAGAGAACAGGGCCTGGAAAGTCCTCAAAAAGTCTTTAAATTTAAGTTGAGGAAGCTACTTTGAAAGCATAACTTTGCAAGCTAATAATTGCTTCACACTGGAAGAAGTTGCACCACAGCAACACTACCCCAGGGAGAAATCTAGTTTAGTTAACTAAAGCTACTAATAAAATGTAGTTCAAACCACCTCGTAACATTGATCATGGCCCAGACCATGGATATCTTTGGAGGTGATCTCCATTTATTACTGACAACTCTGACAGCAAGAGGTAAAAACAAAATCCTCTGTCAATTACGACCATATAGCTGGAGCCCCTCTCCCATGGAGTACAACAGCAAAAGGGGGGTCATGTTACATTCAATTCAGTACAATAGAACACAGAAAACCTACCTGACAGCAAGAGGTAAAAACAAAATCCGTCAGTTACAACCGTATTAATTCGAGTAACACAGGAATATGCTAGCATAAAATTAACTTATAAACAGCCTAACGGCACTAAAACATGGAAATTACTACGCGAGCAATGTCCCTTACCTCTCCCATTGAGCACAACAGCAAAAGGAGAGAGATAAGGCGGGAGACACCCCTTTATAGATAATGTACCCCAAAGATGAACGTAAGGGTACAGAAACTGAGTATCAAAATTTCCACATATTGACTTTGGAGGCCTAAGCATGTCAGGTAATAACAACTGAAACACATTTTGTGTAATTTTAATACTTAATATTACAAATAAACATTTGACTTTTATACACATATTACTGCTGTATAATTGACCCTGTTACACATAAACCAAAAAAATAAAATACCTCACTATTCATGGAAAAGTGCAACAATGTCAGCTTTGATTTGTATACAGTGTCCATCGGTCAGACTGCTGCCTTCATTAACTAGAGTGTGGTGAGGTGGGAGTACTGCACCAAGCAGGATTACATAGTTAGTCAGGCAACTTCTAAAATACCATGCAACAACTTCTCTGACCATTTGTTAATAAAAAGCAATAATCAATAGTTATGACTAATTGTAGTCAAAGGTGGTTCTATTACAGCAGAGAAGCAATGGTCAAATAAAAACAGTAAATGATTCTTTTCATTTTGCAGCCCCAAAATTGTATTTTCAGTAGTTAACTACACGAAAAATGGCAAACAAAATTGACCATTGTACTGCTGCAAAAATGTAGTTGTAGATGTAATGACATGTAGTTCACTACTGCCCACCACTGGATTTTGCATATGTGATATGTCATATCATGATATATATAGGTACTGTATCAGGGAAACTCTTATTATCACTGTGATGTTTTCTCAACCTCATCTCTCTTAACTCTTAGTTAAACTCGGGGGCATTGGAAGGTCAGATGTAACTAAGATCTTGGTTTACTCCAAAGCTGGGAACAGGCCGTGCTACCTTTTGATGTGGGCTAGACTGCCCTTATGTCCAAGTTCCTGATGTGGCTCCACTGCTTAGCATTACAATCGTGGTGAAACGCAATATGAATAAACACAAACCGGTCGTCAAGATTCACAGAGAAATGTCAGAGAGGAGCCGGTGAAGGGAGAGGAAGCACAATGGGATGCACAGAGAGATACGCTAAACCTCACCAGCATACACACGCAAACACACACATAAAGGCTAAATGGCAGATTGTGCTTTTCCAAGTTCAGTAGGTCACAATCGACACCCCCTGTTCCAGCAGGGGCCCCAGTGGCCAGTGTTTATCAGTCCATTTCAGATGAGTTATATTTAGGGCAGCCTGGGCCAGACGCCATTCTCCCCGCTGATTCACTGGGCTGCTGGGAGCACTGCTCTACCTTATCCGGTTTCCACAGTCAACCCAGTGTAATTTGTCAGGATATGGCTCGCGGAGCTATAAACCTCTGTGTGTGCTGTGTGTGTGTGTATGCTGTGTGTGTGTGTGTGTGTGTGTGTGTGTGTGTGTGAGTGAGTGCGTGTACGTTTTACATTAAGTTCTGTCAGTAATAGCTCCCGATTTCCTCCCGCTCTTTCTCTCTCTCAATCTCAGACACACCCAGGTGTATGCATGGCTACACACACACACACACACACACACACACACACACACACACACACACAGAGACAAACACCCCCCCTCTCACACACATGGCCTACGAGTCAGATAAGAGCACCGTTTATTCTGCAATACATTGAGCTATTGTGTGATTCTCCAAGGCAGCGAGCAGCGATTCCTCTTAAAGCTGTAGTAAATAATCTCTGACAAAGAGAGACGGCGAAAGACAGAGATTTACACATCCATACATCCCTGGTCTGGACAGTGGGAAGGGTGGAGTTCCTTTGTCTAACACGGCAGTGATGGATCAACATTTTTCCTCTCCGCGCTGTGCCGCCGGTATCTCTGACGCAAGAAACCGACACATTTTCTTTTCTGGAAAAACATGTTCTGTCATTGTTTTTGTCTCCTGCGCCAGTCCTTCTTTCTCTCTGTACTTTTCTGTCTGACACACACATGCACACTATTTCCCAGGGATACAGCACGTCCTGCTGTCTCAGAAAAAGTCTATTTCATCTTATCAGCAGCAACAGACAGACATGGGCACTACGGGCAGGAGACTGGACAGAGAGCAAGTTAAAAAAAATAACTCCATGATAAAAACAGGGGAGATGTTGTGGCCATGATACTGAGAGAAAGAGCCATTTTACAACAACTAAGACAAACAATGTATTTTTCAAAATGCAGGTTTTTGCCGGTAGCCCTGTGTTCACTTTTTGGCTCATAATAAGGACAGGCAGCTCTTTGTTGCACTGTGTTGCTTGAAAAATGACCAATGCATATTGACTGTAGCTGACATTACACCTTAAAGAGGACCTGTTATGCTCATTTTCAGATTCATACTTCTGTTTAATGTTTAGACCAGTGGTTCCCAACTGGTCCAGCCACGGGGTCCAGATTACTCCTTAGTCATTAGTTCTAGAGCCCACAGTTTAATACATTCAGCGTCATTCTTGCGTTTGGCCATGTCATTGAGCTAGTTTGCTGTCTCTGCTAAGTAGCTGTCCGTTAATCACTCACTCTACAGCAGAAAACGACACTTCAAAAAAAAGAAAAGGTCTTTGCTGGAAATTTACTGTACTTCAAAATAAAGTGCAATTTTTACAAACTTGACACATTTGGGAGTCACTTGCGGTCCATTCAGAATGGACCCGCGACCCACCAGTTGGGAACCACTGGTTTGAACAGTACTTTATTGTCCTGTGTCTGTGCCGGAACACCTGTATTCATGTATTTACCCTCTGTCCGAGAAGGCTCTGTTTTTGCACCTGTCTCTTTAAGCCCACTTTCCGAAAAAGCCCAGTCTGCTCTGATTGATCAGTGTTTTTGGGTCTATCTCAGCATCTCTGTAGTGACTGCAGCTGGGGAATACCTGTAATGGAGCATAGTGGCACTTTTTACCTTGTAAAAACACCAATAAAACCTTCTAAACCAAAATCTTCACAACGGGACATGCTCATGCAGAAATATGATCCGGATCAGGGAGAAATTAACAACATAAGCAACCAAGATTGCATGTTTTCCTGATGTTAGCCTACTGTACTGCTAAATGTAGCTAGATGCTATGTAATGTAAATACTTGCAGTAGTGTGCCTGGGGCAGATGAGCATATAAAGAAATTTGGCACACTATGACATCATATTGTGGCCAAGGTAGAAAATAACCAGTTGTAAACAGAGTATTCAAAACAGTCTGAAGCCTGAGGTTTTTGCTCACAGGGATTGTCTTTTACATTTGCTAACCTTATTATTTGAAACTTTGGCCCCCTTTAATATGAGCATCCTTCACTGTGATACTATATATAAGACACACAATATGGAAAAGCCTATAACGCCTCCTTTAAAACAACTAAATTTCCCGGGGTTCCTGGGACAGTGTGCTTCTGTTTCCAGTAAAAGGAAACAGGTTATTTTCAGTAAAAAAAAAAGTTAATTGATAGTACAGCACAGACAGTGAGCATCATCATGATCAAAATGTGTTTTCTCAAATAATGTCATTGGTGTTGGGACTTTTCTCTCACATAGTACAAGTACATACACATTTATATGACATGCACACATGCAGTCAAGAAGGAGCACACCCTCTTTTGCATAATGAAAGTCTATCTACAAGTGTCCAGTCAAATTTAGAAATTCCAGGAAGTTGATGACTTCCTTTCTCAGTCCACTGAGCAAACCAAACATTCCTGTCTATCTCCTGTCCTCGATTTCTCCCACACCTCCTCCTTCCTCTTCATGTCTTCAGCCCTAATCTACTTCATCTCCCCCCTGTCCTTGCTCTCCTGCTCAGCATGCCTGGACAAAGAATCAAATACATCAAATATTTGACCAGCTTGTGTCTCACAGCTGAAAGAGTAAACACTGGTGTTTTTACATTATACATGAACCAGTATGCATGAGATTTTGAATGTTTTGGTCTCCCCGTTCACCTCTGTGTGTGTTTGTGTGTGCGCCTGGCCCTATCATGAAGCGGCCCTGTGGAAAAGTGCTAGACAGTGATGAAGGGTGTATTGATTGGTGGACCAGGCGCCTGGCGTATCGACTTGGCAGGAGGGTGATCCTTCAAGGCCTTCCTATTGGCACACTGAGTTAATCTGCCCAGCCTGATCAATACCACCTAACTGAAACTATCATTGCACAGCATCCCACGTCAGTGCTGTGTTTGTTTGGCTTTTATTGGTTTTATGTGTGTTTATGGAGGTTGAAGGAATGATTTGTATCTGGGTGACAGGCAAAGCGAAACCCCGAGCATGCCTCTTTTGTGCCTGTAGACGGGGGTGCTTTTTTGTGGAAGTGTTATATGTTCGCTCAGTGAGTCATGGGCCGTAAAGTCAGAGCGCAGCACTGTGAGATCATATAAACAGTATAGCTCGCTATTATAAATCTGCAGCTTGATTTCCAGCCTGCCTCGGGCAAAGTATGGCAACTTGGCAATGTGTTCACCATTGAGAGGACTGGCTGAGTGGCTGGATTTAGTGTTGCTGACAGTGTATTCTTGCTCTGTAGAAATTGTGGTTTTCCTGCAACTAAAATGTCTGGAGTGGGATAAAATAAAAACTCTGTGCTCAGTTTCTCATACTCCAGTCCAGCTCTGTTTTTGCTTTTGTGCTTGTGTCTTTTTCAGTGCACCCTTTTGTTTCTTTGTGGGGTCTGAACATTGTCTTACCTGTCTTATCTTTCTGTGTATTTTTTTCCTCTGCTCTATTTGTCCTTCTGCAGACCTAACATGGAGAACACTGGTCAGGTCAGTGAGTCTGGCTCCTCCACGGTTAAACACGCCCTCAACCCTGACAAAACCTTCATGCAAGTCCACTACCTCAAGGTGAGATAAATGTGGGAAAATGGAGGTGGTTGGAAAGGACGCCTGTCTCTTAGAATTTAAGTTTGTTACAAAACTGTTATGTTATTTATTTTCTGTCTTTGGTATTGCTGATATTCTGGGTTATTAATAAGCCTTATTGACTGTGAGAAAATTTAATTGAAATAATCTTTGTTTCTTATGTTGTTGAGGCATCGTAATCGCTGCCTGAATAATGTTTGGAGACGATGTTTCTTAAAGGTAATGAAACATTACATTCATGTACTGCATAGGCTTTGCAAGGTAGTGGTTGAGGAGGACAGTGGGTGTATTAAGTGCAGGACCTTGACACCAGAACTTTGCTTTTGTGTCCAGACCCCTATCTTAAGGTTGGCAACAAAGGCACTTTGGTTAAGGTCAGGGAAAGATCATGATTTCTGTTAAATGTCAGTAAAAAATGTAGTAAAACAAACGTTGCTGTAGTCACTGTGAATGGACACTGTATTGCAAGTTTGCTTATTTTGGCTGAAAACAACTGAAAATTATTGTCAGTAAACATTTTGCTGATACATTTAGTATCAGCATTTTTGAGACTTGCAAGGCACGTTAATTAGCAGCATTTCCTCATTATGTTAACCCTTTATAACCTGAGGAAATTGGCTTGATTTCTTCCAAAAACATGGGAAGACAGCAATGAGCAACAAAGGAAGAAATGACCCAAAAAATTTGCAAGAAATTAGTTAAAAAGAGAGAATTGAAAACAAGAAAATAAGTAAAAAAAAATGTTTTTAAAAAACAAACAAACAAGGAAATGACTTAGAAAATGTGCTTTAAATTTATAAAAAAAATAATAATTCTGTAACATAATTTTAAAATATAAAAATACTATTTTTGAAAAAAATAATTTTCTGAATCTAATACATTTTTTGCAATTTGTGGGACATTTCTTACTTTTAGAAATTGCACCAATTTTCTCAGGGTTCAATGGTTTAAATATTTGTGAAGGGTGCCTGAAAGCAGCACAAGAAAAGCGATGTCAAAGGGTTAATAGACAACTTAATTTGCACAGCATAGCATTCCCTTAAACACATTTGCTGTTTCAAATAAGTTGTATATGAATGTAATTTCTAGGAGACTGGGCTGGAAAGGAAGGAAGGCAGAGGATACAAAGAAACAAAGGGCTATCAACAATAATCTATAATGTCCTTTTACATGGTCCACTCTTTGCTGGATGTGCTTAGAATAGCACTTGTAATGACTGTAGATGTTGCTGCAATGTTTCTCTCAATTGTCTTTGATACATCATGTTTTGTTTGTCTTGTTCTTTTGTCCAGGGTTATTTCCTCCTCAGGTTCTTGGCCAGTCAAGTGGGAGAGCAACAATTCATCAACTTCTTTAGATTATTTGTGAAGCAATACCACGGGCAGCTCATTTTGTCTCAGGTGAGGCTGTAGTACAGGAAACTTAATTAACTTAATGGATAATTTTGCTGTTGACTTGCAGCTACTTGAGCGACTGTTAATAAAATCTGAGCTCAGATTTGAACTGAGTTCTAATCTGACCTGTCTCTGAGGCACACTGTTATTTCCATAAATTAATTGGAGGCTGATGCAAGCTTGATTGCCACTGTGCTGCAATAGTTGAAAACGCTCCAGCAGCATTTCAAACTGATGACCGTACATCAGCTCAGCCACGTATGTTTATTCTGCCGGGGCCGTGAAGCTGAGCGATCACACCTGGAAGGCCATGTGTTTGCATGTGTGTGTCCGCGTGTGTGATATGTGATGTGTTCCACCTGGCTCCTGTTTCTTCAGTGGCACTAAATAATGGATATAACATAAACACTGTTTAACCTTGCACTCCTGACTTGAGATCAGGTATGCCTTTCTCTTTCTTTTTTTCTTCCTCCCACACCTCCTTAAATGCCTCCCTTTTTTGTTCCCTTTTTTTTTTTTAACAGGATTTCCTGCGAATGCTGCTGATTACCTTTCCCGACATGGAGAGGTATGTAAGTGGCTGAATAATGCTTCTAGTGTAATTCATGAATAATGAACAAAAAAAAAAAAAGCCCAGACGCATTAAAACCACTTTGCCTTGTGCTCGAGTATCAGTAGCCTGGTTTTCAGTTCCAGACAAATTAAAGATATGTTATTCATCAACTTTCAGTTTGAACTTAGCCATACAACTTTTCTTCCTCAACAGATGTGACTTGTTAGTCAATTTATCATCAAATACACGAGCATGTGTTGATTTCCTTTCCTCTCTGCCCCACTGTGGAAACATGACCAGCGAAAGCTCCCAAAACCAATCCTGTTAAGAGAGCAGTCTCATCCACTCTCATATTAATTGAAGTGTAAAAGGATAACTGCTCCTCCTGCTCTCCTCTCTCTAATTTTCTCTCTCCCTCTCTGCGCTCGCTTAATCATTCAGTTCTCTATTTCTCCTGATTGCCTCATTAACCTCTTCTTCTTCTGCCTGTCTCTCAGTCCCTCTCTTCCTCCCTGTCTGTCATTCACTTTTTGTTTTCCCATTTTCTCTCCTCACCCCTCTTTTTGTCTGCTCTGACTGTTATCTTTTTTTCTGTCATGTGGAGTGTGCTGCTGCTGGACTAGCAGAGATTGATTGAATTAAACAGGGGGAGTTGGGGACAGTCAATATTTGGATCTGATGCCTCTTTCAGTAAACAACCCGCTAGAAGGTTCAGGATGAAAATAGACACTCGCTGTTGAGGGTCATGGCTGCTCTTTGTGCAAGGTGCAGGGTCATGTATCCTGCCCATTCCCCAGACTAAATGGGGAACATAATATTTATATGACTAAACATAAAAAGTATTAACACACGTTTTAAAAAAATCAATGTGTTTTCCAATGCCATCTATCATCTATAACCATTAAGATGAATAACTATAAAATAAAGATACCAAGCTGAACGTGAAAGATCTGGTATATACACGTCTCTCGAGAGACATAAACCTTATTTATCCCCAGCCCTATTATAAACATTATTTGACAGGTCACGTGTTGTGCGCTAACTGTATTAACCTTTTGTTTGCCTCTCAAGAAAACTATGCACACATAATACCATGTAATCATACCTTACAGTGTCTGGCTGTTGATGTAGCAGATGTTTAGTCTTTATATACTCTCTCTTTCATCGTCACATGCCAGGAGCTGAAATTACCTTCTGGTGAAGTCACTGATGACGTTTTTAATGTCCACTTCCTGGGCAAATGGGTGCTTTAAGAGGAGTATTACCTCTTCTAGTCAACAGTGGAGTATGAACAGATTTTTATGAGCTTCAATTTACTGAAGGCCCACTCTCCATCTGCCAAAGTTGCCAGCCAATATACAATAGGAAATGATGCAGCCGGGCTCAGACTTTACTAGTACTGTATGAGGAAGCATGGAGCACGGCAACAAAATGCCAGATTTTCTAAAACATTTCTAGCCACTCTGGCAGCGCTGTGGCTCAGTGTTGCTCCTCCAGCTGGTTAGTCCAACACTGTGACCTAGAGTTTAATATCTCAACATGTATTGGAAGCATTGCCATGAGATTTGACACAGATATTTGGGTCTCGGGGTCTTTTTCACGAGTGAGGGTAGAATGGAGTATGAGATGGATCAGGGGTTTGGTGCAGCATCTGCAGTGATGCAGGCACTGTGCTGGACTGTCATGGTGAAGAGAGAGCTGAGCTGGAAGGCAAAGCTTTTGATTTACTGGTCCATCTACGTCCCCACCCTCACCTATGGTCATGAGCTCTGGGTAATGTCTGAAATAATGAGGTTGCGGATACAAGCGGCCGAGATGAGTTTCCTCTGTTGGGTAGCTGGGATCAGCCTTAGAGATAGGGTAAGGAGCTCGGACATCCAGAGGGAGCTCGGAGTAGAGCTGCTGCTCCTTCGTGTCAAAAGGGGTCAGTTGAGGTGGTACAGACATCTGATCAGGATGCCTCCTGGGCGCCTCCTGTTAGAGGTGTTTGAGGCACGTTCCACTTGCAGGAGGCCCCGGGGCAGACCCAGAACACTCTAGAGGGATTACATATCTCATCTGGCCTGGTAACGCCTTGGGAGCTGGAAAGCATTGCTGGGGAGAGGAACGTCTGGAATGCTTTGCTCGGCCTGCTGCCCTCCTGATCCAACTTCGGATAGGAAAATGGATGGATGGATTGATGGAAATTTGGGTCTGCACAGACTGAATCATAAGCAAGTTAGCATGCTAACATTAGCCTTCAGCTCAAAGTTTTCAGCAGCATTGAAGTATAGTTTGACTGACCATCACAGTGTCACAGAAACTGTAAAATAAAAAATATCCAGCATTTATGTTACTCCAAAATTATATCTTAATTTCTGAAGTAGACAATTTTTTTTGTATTTCAGTAGTTTATTGATAATTACAGAGCCCTGATTGGTCTCCCTGCCCCAGGAAGTTTAACCTGACTTGAAACCTATTAAAAAGAAATGTGAAAGTATAAGGCAAAAAAGGATGCAAAGGTGTTCAATTGAGATTCCCTGGACCAGGTTCCTTTAGAAAATAATTTGATAAATGTGGGAAGTTGCTAATTGAGCTTCTGTTAGAAGAGTGAGAGATATGGGTACACCAAAATGTAAATAAAGGCATTTCATTACAAACTAAACCCTTTAATAGGCTGAACATCACAGATTAATATACAGTAATAGCTTCGGACCAGCCAAGTGTGTAATTTTCCTCTGAGCACAGGCGGACAGGATTTATGATGGAGGGTGGGGGTGTAATGCTGTCTAGTTACTCTTTGGCTTGTTGTGTACTTTTTAATACTTTACATTTTGCATACACACTGCGGACACTTTGTGAGTGTGAGTGTTTGCTCGCATGCACATTCATCAGATCTGTCACTGTGTGTGTTTTTCCGTGTATAACATATGACCGTTTCCATGTGCAAACCATCCTTTTGAGCCCCTCCTCAGCCACACTCACACACACACGTACACATACTTGCTTGCTATACATGCATACATACAGTATAAAACTATTTCATTGTCAGTACATGCCTGTTTGCTTGTCCTGTATAGAAAAGTGGGTGTGCCCCTCTTTTTGTTTAAGGTGTTGGCCTAAACCTCAAGTTGGCCACGACCCCAACAGTATTTTCCCAGAGCCATGTTTTCATAGTGTGTCTTGGGCAACAGCAGTCATTGGTATAATAATAGGAATAATACTAACACTTGTGCCATTGTGTTCCAGAAAAGGCCTCACCCTCAGTGCTATTTATGCTGACTGGCTCGATCGACCGGGAATTCCAAAGGTATGAAGAGTCATGATTTCTTTCTGTCCTTTGTTCTTTATCATAGAGTTTGATAATGTTATTTTTATATGTTGTATATAATATGTTTTAATAAAAAGCTAAATCCCAACAGGCCAGATTAACTAGTTTATAAAACTTTTAACTCTTGAATTAATTTAGACTGAAAATTAATTTCTTGATTGACTTTAATGTATAAAATAAATTATTACTATGTATGCATAGTTAATTAATTGTACACAATAGTACAATGATTCAGTATTACTGATTTTGGACTATTAATCAGTTTGTGTTTAGAGTCTAGCACTGACAGTATGTGTCCTCCAGAAGTGTATGTAAGCCTTAAGAGGCAAGTGAGAAAAGTCTGATCTAAATTGTTTTCTCCCCTGTGTTTATGACAAATGAACAGGTGAAGAAAAAAAAGTTTCAACAGTATAATCTTTCCAAGTTTCTGATTTTTTTTCCATCTGTGAAACATGTGGGGGTAAAAAGGCAACGCCAGTGTAGCTAACGTTAGCGGCAAATTAGTGCTGCCAATTACAATTTATTTATAGCCAAAAGAGAGACAAGACAGTAATGTTACATAACTTTCTAACACACAATAAGTGTACCTTGTGTTTAGAGTGCATGGAGAAACTAAAACTCGCCTGGCAGAAAACATGAAGACTTTTAGTCCTATGAAAGGCCTCAGCCTCTTGTAGCCAAAATGACGATTAAAATTATCCTGACAAAAAATACATGATAAAATAAAAACACCTGCAAATTCACCCGTTTTCAGCGACGAAAAAAAAATTACTTAAAAAAAATGATCCTTGCATAAACTCACTTTATTTTTTTCACCTGGAAAAACCTCTCCCGCCACCTGTTTCACAGATTTAAAAATATAAGAGACTTGAAAAGATTATCCTGGGATAACCTTTATTTTCACCTGGTCTCAAGTCCTAAACACAGGAGAGAAAAAAATTAGATCAGACTTAGAAAATGGATCACCATGGCTTCCGTAGCAGCCTCATGTCTGTAGCTATAAAATATCTAATTACTTCAGTTATGTTTCTCCTCCTTTTTGTTTCTTTCATATGAGGTAATGGAAACAAATTAACACACAGCTGTTGTTTTTGGACATTGACGCTGACAATCAAAGTTCTTTTCGTTTCACATTTGTTGTAATCCTCTCATACCTGGCGCATGCATGATTAGGGCGATAATTTCATAGTCTGTGTTTACTCACTAGACTGGTTTCTGTTTATGGAGATTAGTTCTTCCAGGCTTGGATTGAAAAGCTGATTGCACATCTTTGTCTCAGCTTTTTCACTTTAAGATATCCAAACCACTATCATATACATTTACTACCATTGTTTTACCTTTGTGTCAAGGTCAAAACAACTGACCTTTTACTTTAGTTCACTTTTCTGTCCTAGTTTTTCTTAATAATGACTCAGTATGATTTTGAGATTTCATGAATTGAAATGATGAGAATTGAATGTGTTACATGTAGGTCCATGTACAGGAACTTTCTTGCTTTTGGGAGGAGTGTGCTCTAAGCATATGCTCTTAGATGACAGGACCAGCGTAGCATTTGTCTCACTATTGAACAGCTGTAAATAGCGGAGTAATGACGCTCTCATAATGGCAATTATGTCTCATATTAGGAGTAAATAGCTTTCAGTATATAAATACTACAGCTTAAATGACGTGTGACTATTAGCCAGTAGGCATTTTGAAAACTGTTACATGATGATGGCTTCCCCGATAACCGTATATAAACTTAAAGAGGAGTTTTTCAAATGACATCTTGTTGATGATGTTAATACACTGTACGGCTGTTTGGTTCTCGAAAGAGTTAATCTTACAGTTCATTGTATTATTGTGTTGTTGAATCACTATCATCCCCTTTGTTACCTGCTCTGCCTCTGCCCTCTAAGACCCACATAGATACTAGGATAGCAAGGCCACACAACCACACACACACACACACACACACACACACACACAATCAATCCACTTTAACAGCTTCTTCAATTCTCCCATCTCCATGGTAACTGATCTTAATTACCACTGTGTGTATGTGCATTTTTGTGTGTCTGTACTCCTGTTGCTGTCTGGGAACCTTCACCTTCTAGATTATGTGATGATGTAACTGGAGCCTTTCAGGGGCCTCCGAGGGGGGGGAAGGACAGCGTAGAGGGACTGCTGTTTCCTCACACCTGATTGGGTGATGGCTAGAGTGTTCTCGCAGAAGCTTTTTTGGTGTTTGATGTGCCAGTCACCGGCTAATAAGATCAGCCAGATCGATTGAAACCTTTTACAAATGCAAGTGCTTGTGTATTATGTATACACTGGACACAAACGCATTTTAAAGTCTCCCCCTCTCTCTGCCACTCTCTGCCTCTCTGTCTCCTATCCATCGCTGGACAATGTGCTTGAATTGGAGAAAGGCAGGAAATGGTTTGGCCTAATAATAAACAATGACATTCACCAATTCCAGAGTAAGAGATGTGGAATGGGAAGGCCAGCTCTGGCCTATTTTAGACCTCACAGTTTAGATGAGTAAGCACTCCCTTTGGGATGATGGATCTAGGCTGAGATACTTTGTTTAAATAAAGACTACCCTTGATTCAGTAGAGCTTTCACCCTGATGCCTTCTCCTAACTCTTACAGCCTACATTAACATTTTATGTTTGTCCCTTTCAGCCTGGCTTATCAATAAAAGCCTTTTTTGTGATCAGTTATCAGACTGATTTAACATAGTTGTTTAAACTGCTTTACCTTGTATTAAAGCATTTAAGCATTTACTGTTCTTCCAGGCAGAAATTGGATTGGAAATTATCTCAAGGTAGAAGTTTTGTCACAATATTGGATTTTCTAACTTTGATATAACACCTTGAAAAATATAGACTTTCAATACCATTTTGGATGACACGGGGGCAAGCTGACAGAGCATACAAGTTCAAATTTGATATTAAAAGATAAATATAACAAGGCTACAAGATGACAGTGACAACTTTCCTCTTCTTGGTTAGTAGAACAGCAGAATGATTGTGGTAAACATAAGTAATAAGAGAGAGCGAGAAAGCACAGCTGGTACTGGTCTATTGATGCTGTGGAAAATGAGTGTTGAACACATTTCAAATGTTCAGAATTGATATTTGTCAATAAATCAATATTTTTTACAACACTACGAGGCAGTAAGCCTGAGCAACTTGCACTGTGATTAATTAATCTAAATTAAACGTATACATCAAGTTTTGCTGTTTAAATATTTCAAAAAAGTCAATTTAAATTAATTTTGGCAGATGTGTTGTAAAGCTGCTGGATTTTGGACACAATTGTCCCCCTGTCCTCTACCACCGAAAATGGTCTGCAGTCCATTGCAATCCATTTTGCAAGAGAGTTAGCTAGTCGGTGACAGGTAGACTTACTCAGTTTGTGTCCGAGTCGAGTGTGGCTTGAGGAGGCTGACTGTTAGCGCTAGCATCAGAGGCTGTGCTAGCTTGGACCTCTGGGTTTGCTGATAAATGCGTTGTGTTGAAGTGATGTCTCAGGTTTGCAGTACTCTGATGGTAGGAAAATTGCTTACTGCAGAAATCGCAGAGAACGTTGCTTATACCAACGGTTCCATCTTGCAGTTTTTTAAATGTTAATGTCCTATTGACAGGGCCAAGCAGCATGATCTCGTCATCCACCATCATGTGACATCAGTGACGCACCTGGTCAAAGGGCACCACGAAACGTGATTAGTCATTGTTAATTTTTATAACGCGTTATATTGTTATTATTATATTGTAACATGTTATTTTGACAGCCCTAAAAAAGAGTGGCTGATATGACAAAGAAAAGAATACCAGCTACTTGAGCTCAAACCTTCTCCGTTTAGAAGCCGGCTGTTGAACCTCAATACTTTCTTGAATATAGCGGCTCAGCTGTGTTTGTAGCATTAAAGATTAAATACAGCAAAATCCTGAAAGTCGTTGACAATTTTTTTGAACAGGATTAGTTTGATTCTAATCCTGATATGTTTTATAATAATTAATGTGTTTAATTAATTAATTATTAATTAAAATAATAATTCTTATTTAGGAAAGCTGATCTACAGCTGTTTAAGTTAAGACAGCTTTAAACACTATTAAATGTGATAGGTTTGGCTTTGTTAAATGATAAAAAAAGATTTTTTTTGTAAATTCATTAATTTATTTTTAAATGATATTGACTGTTTTATGTGTTTTTTTAATCCCTTTTTGACTATTTATTGATGGATTCATATTTATTTGTAAATAATTTGTATAATTCCTCTTTTTATTACCTATAAAAATATCAAATAATGACTTTTAAACTAGTTTATTAATGCCTATTTTTATTGTAGAGGTAGTTATTAATGAATTAAATGCTTATTATGCTTACTATTAGTACTTCCTCCATTATCAAAAAGGTATTGTTTTGGTATTGGTACCAGAACTCTGGTATTGTTGTTGTCTGCCGTTGTTCTGGGATTAAAACATTTTAAAGGCGTTATTGTAGATAATTCACTTAAATCGAAATAATAATAATTCAACTAAAAGCACTCACCAAGCTGTGGATTGATCTGAGGAAGATATGGGTCATGCTTCTCATGCGTGTTTATGAGTAAGAGGTGTAACTTCTGAGCACGCAATCTGATATTGATTCACTAGAGAGACACTACACAGACGGGAGCGCGGGATGAAGAGAGAGTTTGAGGTAGACAAAAGCCTTTCTATTCAGGGAATGGTCGTGGGGATCTAGGCAGCAAAAGAGCTACGTGTGGTATCCTGTTACACAATGCCAATTTACTGCTTCAACACTCACTACATTCTATACAGCCCACTCTAACACCTCCCTCTCTCTCTACCTTTGTGTGTCTGCCTTTCTCTCCCCATTTCCTTGGCTTCTACACACACACACACCTTCATGCTATTTCTGCTAGAGTACTTGTATAATACACAGAGAGGAGTACTCAGGCATGCAGTTATAGTATTGAACTTTGTGTGTGGCTATGGTAACGCTAATAGCCGAATCCTTGCTTTTGGGAATGTGTGTATTGTGGATGGTGAGAATATGATGCTGCATCTTCTCCTGTTTGTGTGTGTGACATTACAAACACCTTGCTTCCATGCACTCCCTGTCTGTCTGCTGTCTGTCTCCTCATTTCCCCCACCACACACACACACACACACCTACACACACATCGCTCACCGTCATCGCTCTGATATGTGATTCACATCACTCGAGCTGTGGCTCTGCTGAAAGCCTTAATAAGGTTAGAGAGTAAGTGCTTTGTGTTTGTGCCTACTAGCTGCTCTCTGTGCGTAGGTGTGTGTTTGCATGGCTCTACATGTGTGTGTGTGTGTGTGTGAGTAGAACGGTGGAGGAGTGGATGTGTAGAGAACTGAGGTGACTGTCCGTCCTGTAGTTGCAAGTTATTAAGGTGATTCTTTTCTTCCTCCTCCTCCTCCCTCTCTTTTCTCTCTCTTCTCCTCCGCTCTTTCTCCCATCCTCCGGAGTCAATTCGCGAGTTTCCGTCAGAGGAACAAGTGATCGCGCTCCCACCTCCTCCCTCTCCTCCCACCTCTCCTCTCTCTCCCTCCCCTTCCTGCTTTGCTCCGTCTCTCCCTCTCTCTCTCTCTCTCTCTCTCTCTGCCTCTGCCTCTGCCTCTGCAAAGCATTCCACTCTGTCCTGATCACTTGCCCCCGGCTCACTGCTTTCCCTTCTTCTCTGTCGTTCAGTGGCTGTATGAAAGGAGCGCCGTGTGGTCACAGGCGAGGCTGGTGGAAGAACTCAAAGCAGAGGTAAGCACTCTCTCCCCCCCCCCTCCGTCTTCTCTCTTTTCCCTAGGCTTCTTGTCTTCAGGGAGTGGCAGACAGACTCGGGGGAAGCTCTCAGATTTGAAATATTGCACCTTAGACTGCATGATATGATTGTCATCTGATTCTCATCACTCTCTCTTCCTTCACTCAGTTATTCTGCCACTATTTCCTCTGCACATACTGCCTCCTGTCTGGGTTTCTTCTCTTCCTCCTCAGTCTCATTTACACGCTCTGTTTCACAATGTTTGATACCATCTCTTATCTCTACCTCTCTTGCACTCCATCTACCTCTTTTGCTCGTCTGCTCCCTGTTTAAGTCTCTCCCTCTGTCTGTCTTGGAGTGAAGTGCGGCACACAGCGCTGTACATCTGTTGCGTGTCATTCTGTGCCGCCTATCAGATTTCCCACAAAGCTCCCATGTTGTTCTTAATTGCTTTGCCTGTATTTTCCAATTCTCCCATTAATCTGTCCGCTTAAATAAAATCAAACCAGTCCTGAGGAGAATATTGGCCAAATATGTTTTAATACCTTGAAACACAAAGAAAAAATAGTGATCCTGCATCTTAGGAATAACTTGTCCACTTCATGTGCTGTTTAAGTGTTTGGAAACCTCACTTTGTTGACATTTCAGACAGTGTATTTATTCGGAGATATAAACCGAAGCGGAGGAGAGGAGATAGAGTTTGGCCTTGATAGTGATTGGCTGTTTAATGGAGATCTATGGTGTAGGGAGTTGCTGCGCTCCAGGCTCCGTCACAGCAACATACTTTCACTATTACTCTTTTGTCTCAGCCGGCCGTTTGTGTTGGTTATATATGGAGCGCAAGTGAGCGCTGAAAGGTTGGAATTAATGTGCGTGTGTAAAGGAGAGGGAGAGAAGGAGCTATCGACTGTGTGTGTGCGTGCGTGCGTGCGTGCGTGCGTGCGTGCGTGCGTGCGTGCGTGCGTCTACTTTACACTCTGTCAAGGCTTGCATGCCAGTGGCTCACTGTGAGTGTGTGTATATGTATATTCCTGTGTGCCTTTCCACTTGAGAGATGGAAAGTGCGCCTTAAGTCCGTTTATGTTTACTTTCTGCTATTGGATGTGACCACTCACTCCTTCTCGCGCACCCTTTCCTTCCTCCTCTCTCTGCCATCGCTACACCTTACTGATTACTTCCTCTGCTGTCTCCTTTTTCTCCTGTTTCTCCTTCACACTGTCTCATCCCACTCACTCAAACCTGCCACTTTGTTGTCTCTGTCTACCCTCTCTTCTTTTTCCCGCCTTCGCCACCTCACCTCACTCCTCCCCCTCCCATCCTCCCTCCTGCAGGTTGTAAAATGGATTCTCCACAGTCAGAGTCATCAGGGAAAGGGCAGAAAGCGGAAGAGAATAGAGCCCAAGGTGAACTACAAAGAGGTAGGAGGCACTCTACTGTATTAAGACCTCTATCTGCTTCCCCTCCGCTCTACTTTAAACTCTTGGGAGTGCCCCTTTCTCTTTTAAAAACATCTACCTTCCCATCTATCTGTTTTTTTTTTTTCTCCTTTAAAGTCGCTTTGATTCTTGAGCTGTGCTGTATTTTAGTTTGTCTGACAACACAATTATCCCCGGATTCTGTTTATGTGTTGTGTCTGCAAGGACAGGCTACCCTGTACTTGTTTAAGTCTGTGTTTATGTTGTGTCGCACACATATTTAACCTCTTAAGAGCTTGTATACATCACATACCCTCCGCTGCTTATGTGTGTGTGTGTGGTCATGGCCAATGTGTGTGCGTGGGATGGTGCCTGTGTTTGTCTAGAGTCGGTGGGGACCATTCGGCCTCGACATTCTGGGTTTGAATCTGGCCTTGAACCTCCGTCACATCCCTCTTTATCTTCCCATACTTCCTGTCGCTTATAAACTACTCGAAAATGCCATAAAAATATCCAAAAAAGATGGTTTTGCCCGTGTGTGTAGTGTTAATTAGTTCTCTCTAGGGATGGCTAATCCTCTCCGCCCACTAATTGACACACACACTTGCACACACGCCTGCATCATTAATGAACGCACACTGATCTATAAGCCACAGAGGGCCAGAAGTCATTAGCGAGAGTAGAGCAGCTTTTATATATCACTCTCAATATGTTCAGATATTGTAGACCGTTGGAAACATTTGCAAAGCCTCCCTTTTTTTTAATACATTACATTTTATGGCATGAATAAGTTAGGTAAGTGCCCCTGGGTGTCTTCGAATAAAATATTGGAAGGAAAAATAAAACAGTCATTCATTGCCAAGAATATTGTATATATCCAGTGACTTTTCAGAGCTTTAATTTTCCCTTCCAAACGTCTTACCGCAACTTTCAACAAATGTAATGTGAGCTTGATTCATAAGCAAAGGTATACATGCTTAAGCTGCACCTGAAATCCACACAGTATTTTAATAAAACCTTGTGTTGGAACATGATTTTTCTGGATTAGATTACCTCCAATTCCTGTGTTGCAATTTGGGGCACACAGTGAATGAAATGCCTGTGGAGTCCGCAGCCAGTGCAGCCCCCCCCCCCCCCCTCAACCACCTGATACCTACTGTCTGGCATATTTACAATGTACACACACATACACACAAATACTTCTAAGGGGCAGCAAAAGGGCCTCTTCCTGTGGGGGGCAGAGAGTGCTGAAATCAGCCTCATGAAAGAATGGCCAATTACTGTCCACTTGGTCATACACAATAGTGAGAAAGAGGAGGGAGGGACGAATGGACGGACGGACGGAGCGAGGGAGAAGGGGGGATGTAAGGGCGGGGGTGTGGGAGGTCAGCGTTTGAAGTTACACCATAAAAGCCATCCTGAAAGGAAACACGAAGTGACCCCTCCCCCTCCCCTTTCCATCCACCTCTCTCCCCCTGCGGCCCGGCCCTCTCCTCTCTCCTCCTCTTCGTCTCCCTCCCTTCCCCTTTGTTTCTGGGTACAGAGAGTGCCCCATGGATGGACCAGGTGTATTTTATATTACTCCTTCATGTACTTCAAACGCCAAACAGCCCAATTTCTACTCAACCCCCCACCCCCACCCCCCTCTTTTCATCTACCTCCCTTTCTCTTCCCTGCGTCTACCAGCCTGTTGCAAGGCTATAAATCACGCAGCAGACCCGATCAGCTAAAGAGGAGAAGAGAACAGGAAGACGGGTAAAACACAGGAGACAGAAAGGTACACCGGGAAGAAAAAGTTGGGATGAATCAGAGATGAAGATACAACTGGAGCATAGAGTGAAATATGAAAAACAACACTTGACGCCACCGCTGGGCATTATGTATCCCCTGTGGTTATCTTTTAGATCCATTCAAATTGGAATGGAAACATGGATTTAAGCCACAAAATGATGCGGCTGGGTGGAAAAATACAAAGGGAAAAGATTTAGCAGAGGGCTCGAGGATAAATAGGTGATGGAATGACAGTATGGAAAGAGAAAGAAAGGACGAAAAAGAGGTAGAAAAGTAAAACAGAAATTTGTAAGACGGGATTTTAGGAGCAAGAGCGAAACTAGCGGTGGGTTAGAAGTTGATGGGTATGAATTCCAGTAAGGTAATGAATCTGTTGCGGGCATTTGAGGAAATGAAGAGGAGAGTGGATATTTGAGGAGATGGGAGAAGCACACGAGAGATGAAATATTGCTGGACTGGTCAGATGATGTAAGAGCGGTTAGGAAGAGAGGAAAGAGATGCCGAGAGAGGGAATAGAGAAGGTAGCACTTTTAGTGGGCAGAAATTAGGCTGAGCCAGGGTTGCATTTAGCGCTAATGACATCATGGATGATTAGGGTTGACACACACCCACACACACGCTCACAAACCTATAGATGCACAGAGCAGAGAGCCAGACACCCCCCACAGAGCAGCCTGGGATCTGGTCAATTTAATAGAGCCAAGGTTTACCAACTTCCCCTTCGTCTTTGTTTCTGGGGTGCGTTATTGATTCACGAGCATCTTTTTTTTGTGAACACGTGTAACTTGCGTGTGTGCATGTGACGAGCATGCGCGTGTCCAGTCAGTGTGTGCGGAGAGGCTTGAGAGGGATATTAGTCACGCCTTCGTGGTAATGGGCCTCATTTTGCTCTCATTTTCTTCTGCGGTCCCCGTAATGAGAGGGTCCGTCTGCCCCTGCTGATCAGGACAGGAAACCCTGTAGGGGGAAAGGAGCTGTGAATAGCGGGAGACCATGACTAACTTTTCTGGCAACAACAGGCTCCTTAGCTCTTTAAAGATGCTGTTTGTAAGTTGCTATTGATCTTGGTCTTATATTGATCGACTGGACTTCACAGTAAAATGCCCGAGAAAGATGATCAATAGGTATCATAACATTCCTTAAACCTCAGAGTGCAGCTTTGCCGTATTATGTTCGATACTCTCAGGGTTCACGGAACAACTTAATAGCTGACAGATGCCGCAATTCCGAAATAACATTTTAACCGTTACACACACAGTGGTAAAAACTAAATGAGATTTTTCCCTGATGTAAAGTTCTTGTACTCCCCATGGAATGAAAACACATATTCCTAGTTTAAATCAAGTGTCCCTGTTGTGAGTAATCATTAATCTTTTGTCATGTGCCAAATATATGTCAAAAAATCAGTATTAGAGTATTTTTTACATCAAAATCTCTGTCTTTCTTTTTCTGGAAAATCAGACAAAACAGTTTTAAATGTTTGATGACTCATCCTAAACAAAGGGGTGTTTACAAAAGTTCATCAAATCAAATGAGACTCTGGGCGACTAGCTAGCCACATCACTCAAATAAAACCACACTCGTTTGTGGGTTGTAGTAGCTAACAGAACAATATGTAAATAGATAGATGTTTGTTTGGATACTCGCGGCTAAAACAATGTAGCAGAGGTCTCATTAATTCAACTCTCCTTTGTCCTCCTCCTGATCTGGCATTGAGGGAGGTGTTTGTAGAGCCAGTAGTCGTCTGAGCAGCTGTGTCACGCTAAACTCCAAGCCTGCCCACTTTTTCGTGGTCCAGTCAAAAGGATTTGATATCTGTCTTGTGACTGCACATTGCTCAAATATTCCGTTTTACTGGGAAATACGTCACAGTACAGAAGCTAAAGATGCTCTAACTTTAGTTTCATGGGAATCTTAATGTCACTGCAGTAAATGGCCTCAATACTTAAAGTTGTAGTTGGTAACTGTATAAGAATAACTTGTCATACTTGCTGAAACTGTAGCTATATTCACACAGAGGTACATCAGCCAGAAATCTGTGAAAAAAAATCATGTTACTCCTCCTTGAAGCTCTTCCACTGGCATTTGCAAGAATCTATTGCATGAAAACAACCAATCAGTGCCGTGGAGTCTTTAACACAGCTGTCAATCATGTGAATCACTGCTCATCTACTGTGGTCAAACTGTCGAACTAGGCAGCGTTGATCAAATTTGAATCAAGACTTTGTCACTGCCTTGACTATTTTTTGAGAAACATACTTCAGTGTACTGTTTAGCTGTAAAATGATAACATTTGTGACTAGGCCGCCATGGTGGAGACAGTTGAGCCAAACTGAAGCACCATCCACCGGCTGGAGCACACTTTCTGATTTTAAAGCTAATAGTACACTAAAATATGTTTCTGAAAACATTTGAGACAAGAAATGGGCAGTTTGGCAGTTTGACCACAGTTCATGAGCATCATTGACATGATTGACAGCTGGGTGAGAGACTTCTTAGCTCTGATTGGTCGCTTTCCTTCAGCCAGGTGGATTCTAGCAAATGGCATCAGAAGCACTACAAGGAGTTGGAGAAATATGATTATTTTTTTATTCTTTTTTTCAGACTGTCTCATGTCATGCTGTGTCTGTGTAGTGACAGTTTCAGCAAATATGACAAAAAATTATTTAAAAAAAAATTCTTACAAAAATTTATTTTCATCAGAGTTACCAACCCTAGCTTTAAGATTAGTGCAGTTCTATTTACACCTCTGCACTGGAATACAATATATTTGATACAGTGTGACACATCCTAGCGCCTTTGGTGCAGATGTGATAAGGTTCTGTATATAGAAAGTGTTTACATAGCTCTTCCTCTGGATAAACAAATCCGGGAAATGTTGTAATCCTGAATTCTTGTCATTCCTGCAGAAATTGTTCTCCACACTATTTTTAACTTACCTCTCTGAATCTACGGCTGCACAATTATTATGTCCATCAAGCTTATTTTGGTGGATTTTGAGAGCATGATTATGAATTTGCAAATATTGATCTGTACTAAATCATTCCTTTAGACAGTTTAATATTTTGAACCACACCGAATAATGTCAACCTTTGCGATATTAATTTTACAGGCTAAAAAGCAACATATGATTATAAGCACTCACCCTCTCTACAAATTGTGCGGGTAGTCACAGGCTAAAGGCATAATGTATGTCAGAACACGATGTCATG